CTATCTATCTATCTATCTATCTATCTATCTATCTATCTATCTATCTACCATCTATCTATTTATAAACTACATAAGTTTTCTTCCACCAGTTGTCATTTTTTTCTTGTAAGTACCTAAGGTGGCTGTATTCCAGGAAACACAATAATGTTACAGGGATGACAAACTTTTTAATCCAAATAAAATTCTCTTGGGATCCTGCAGTGATTTAATCTCTTCATATCATTTTATTTCTACAAACCTAAGGGAATTCCCTTGATTTTTGGCTCCAGCGGCAACAATTTTGCGCTACTACTTCGGTAAGTGACTCTTTTCTACCTGAAGCTATGTATTGCACATAGAGACAAATCATATTTGTGGTGCATTTTCTTCTCTAGAAAGGATTCACTTAAAAATATTAATAGTGTGACTACAAGATATTATGAGTCGCAACGTTGAAGAGAGGCAAATCTTTTCAGATTTGCTGAAAATGAGATTCTAAATTAAGTTCTTCCCTTACTGTAACCAATGGAAACCACTCTTGCATTTTTAGGCGACCTACTTTCAAAAATTAAGCTGCATCGCAGAAGGAGGATAAAAGCACAGACATGAGTTTTATGAGGAGGTTCAGAGAAGACTGCACGGGAGTGTTTCCACACTCCGATCTGTCCAAAGGATTATCAATGTGGTTAGGGAAATAACTTCATTCTTGATGATTAAAGAACATCAAGAATGGCTTTGTGCTCCATCTTTACTCCTTCCAGCCAATGGGAGAAGCCAATGGGAGAAGGCTTAGTCTTACTGGACAACCAGCTAAATATGAGCCAGTTGTGTGCGGCGGCAGCCCAAAAAGCCAATGCAATCCTAAATTGCATTAACAGAGGGATGCAATCAAGATCAAGGGAGATACTAATGCCACTATATAAAGCCTTAGTAAGACCACACCTAGAGTACTGCATTCAGTTTTGGACACCACAATATAAAAAAGATGTTGAGACTCTAGAAAAAGTACAGAGAAGAGCAACCAGGATGATGAGGGGACTGGAGACTAAAACATTTGAAGAACAGTTACAGAAACTGGGCTTGGTTAGTCTTGTGAAGAGAAGGACCAGGGAAGACAGGAGAGCAGTCTTCCAATACTTAAGGGGCTGCCACAGAGAAGAGGGGGTCAAGCTATTTTCTGAAGCACCTATAGGCCAGACAAGGAATAATGGATGGAAACTGATCAAGGAGAGATTCAACCTGGAAATAAGAATAAATTTTCTGACAGTTGGAAGCATCAACTGATGGAACAGAAGTTGCCTTCAGAAGTTGTGAGAGGTTCATCTCTGGAAGCTTTCTAGAAGAGATTGGACTGTTATTTGTCAGAAGTGGTGTAGAGTCTCCTGCTTGGGTGGTTGGTTGGACTAGATGACCTACAAGGTCCTTCCAACTCTGTTAATCTGTTAAAGGCCAAAAAAGAAGACCATATATTCCTGCACTACAGAAGTCTCTGGAGTAACAAATACTGTTAACTCTACAAATAGACCAAATTATGTTGATTTCGCATGGCCAGTTTGAATCCTTTACTAATTTACTATTAGTCTTTTACTAATACCAGGTTTAGTATTTTACTCCTCTGGGCATAACACCTGGTTCAGAACCTACTAAAGGAGCTTACGGTTGAAATGAGGGGGTCCTTGGTGCTCTCTGAGTTTAGTGGTTTTCTTGCAGATGTTTCATTACTCAAAGTAGGTAACATCATCAGTTCTAGAACAGAGGGAGATTTGTGGAGAGGAGGAGGAGGGGAAGGGGAGGAGGAGGAGGACAGGAAGGAGGAGGACAGTGGTGGGGTGCTTGGTGTTCTCTTACTAAGGCTTTATAAAACCTTGATAAGACCACACCTGGAATACTGGATCCAGTTTTGGTTACTACCATTGCAAAAAAAAGATGTTGAGACTTTGTAAAAAATGCAGAGAAGAGCAACTAAGACAATTAAAGGCCTGCAGACTAAAACATATGAAGAATGGTTGCAGGAATTGATATGGCCAGTGTAAAGTAAAGAAGGACTAGAGGAGACATGATAGCAGTCTTCCAGTATCTGAGGGGATGCCACAAAGAAGAGGGAGTCAACTCATTTTCCAAAGCACCAGAAGGCAAGACAATGGATGGAAACTAATCAAGGAGAGAAGAAAGCTGGAATTAAGGAGAAACTTCCTAACAGCGAGGACAATTAACCAGTGGAACTTCTTGCCTTCAGAAGTTGTGGGTACTTCATCACTGGAGGTCTTTAAGAAGAGTCTGAAATGGTATAGGGCAGGGGTGGGCAAACTACGGCCCGCGGGCCACATCCGGCCCGTTGGCCTTTTTAATCCGGCCCGCCGAAGATTGGTACAGAATTAAGGTTTGATGTGAATGATGGAATGATTGCATTCATTTGATTTTGACTTGTAATGACAGGCATTTCGACACCAGGTGGCGGCCCGCCTGTCAAATTTTAAAAGTCAATGAGGCCCCCGAGCCAAAAAGTTTGCCCACCCCTGGTATAGGGTCTCCTGCTTGAGTAGGGGGTTGGATTAGATGACCTCTAAGGCGCCTTCCAGCTCTGTTCTGATTCAAATATCTTTCAGAGCTGGGATAAAAGCCATCTCTTCTCTCACCCAACTCTACTGCAGGAAATGCAAACACCTGCTATTCAATAATCAGCAACCTCGGAAAAAATATTTTCCTCCCTATTTGTTGCATCCACAATCATTCTATTTTGAAAAGGCATCATACCGACCCAGATTTTATTCAACAATATTTAATCCCTGTAGCATGAAAGACAGGTAAACGATCTCAATTTTCCTTGTTGCATTAGCTTTCTGGCTTTGAATCACCTATTGGGTGATTGCAAAATTAACCTGCCCTTAGGAAATACATAATTAAAAGAATGTTTCCATATTCTCAGGCAACAAATTAATGGATTTCCTATAATTTGAGGGGGGGAATGCTCCACAAATATATAAATTTACTCTTGTTTCATTGTTAATGTTAACCATTAACAATCTGTTCCAATATTTCTAGACAGAGAAATATTTTTCTGTTTAGGAATTAGGTGGGTGCAGTTGAGAAAAAAAATCTGCAGAAAAATGCAGGCTGGAAGAAGAATGGAAGGCATTACGCTTGATAGAGATAAGCTATGCTCATGTCATTTTTTATATTCTAAACTATATATCACTTTAAAACTGACTTTGGCATCTTCCTGGCTGCAGATATGGATACAGCAATATCTCTGTGAATAAAAAAGGCCCCAAACATTGGTTATAAGAGATTTTCATCTCACTTGGAACTATACACAAATCGACCACACTGGACTTTTAATTATTTTAAAACAGGATTTCCATGAATGACTTGGGTGTTTTGCTTCATACAGGTAGATCTTGATTTACGACCACAATGGAGCCCAAAATTTCTGACGTGAAGCAACACATTTGTTAAATTAGTTTCCTTGACAAAAATTCAGAATCCTGACCCAGAGGGAAGGCATCTTAAATAGTCCTGGATGAGAGTGTCTTCAGAGACTGTGAAATCTAAGAGGGCAGTTTTTATATGCTTATGGGTATGCAAATGCTGAGTATAGAACATAATGACATGGTAATAAAATTGGAAGGGACCTTGGAGGTCTTGTAGTCCAACTCACTGCTCACTCAGGGGATCCATCCTGGACAAGTGGCTGTCCACTCTCTCCTTAAAAGCCTCCAGTGATGGAGTACCCACACCTTCTAAAGACAAGCTGTTCTGTTGGTTATATCATGCACCTGTTGGTATCTGATTCAGAGGGGGAGGCCGAGCAGCTGACAGGGAGTGGCAGTGTGGCTCCGTTGGCTGTGGAGGAAACTGGGGAAGGGCACAGTCCGCCTGGGCAAAGCAGGGAAGAGGTAGAGCAAGGGAGAAGTAATTTGGAGGAAGACCCAGGCCCACTCCCTCTTCATCCTAGGGCACGTAGGGAGGAACAGAGAAGGGAGCAACGTGAGTTGCTTGGCTTACAGGGGAGGAAAGGGCCCTGATTCCCTTCATTAGCTGCAGCTGGGAACACAATGTTTAAAAGGGGAAGCTGCACCAGCTAGTTGTTGGGAGCAAATAGTGAATTATCTGGTATTGTTGAGGTTTATATGTGTTCCTGACATCTTCCCAACTATGTGTGTTTTGCTGGGCTTTCAAGTCTGTAATTCCTTCACCTGCCCTGTCCAGTTAATTACTGCAGCGTGGTTTGTGTGGATTTTTAGTTACAGTTTATAAGTACTTTTTTCAGACTGAATTTCCTCCATTATAAAGACTGTTCTTAGGAGAGTTTTTTCTCCAGCCGAAGGTAACTGGACACTGGGGGCAAAGTTGGAGATAATATAGGGACTCTTCTTGCTTATTTGGCTGTGTTGCCTTGTGGTCATCACAGGTTAATTGATCTCATTGTCAGGAAATTTCTTTTAGTTCTAGGTTGCTTCTCTCCCTCATTCATTTCCATCCTTCCTGTCCTGCCTTCAGGTGCTTTGGAAAATAAGTTGACCCCCCTCCTCTCTGTGGTAGCCCCTCAAATATTGGAAGACTGCTATCATGTCAGCCCCTAGTCTTTCTTTTCACTAGACTAAAACATACCCGATTCCTGCAACCATTCTTTGAATATTTTAGCCTCCAACCCCCTAACCATCTTTGTTGCTCTTTTGTGATGACCCAGGGTGGAATACAAAATAAACACAGTTACAAAAAACAGGTGAAGCCCCTTTTATTCCTTCACTTTGCTTCCGAGCTCCAAATATCCTTAAATGGAGGCAAAAAACTCCCACACAAGCAGTTACAAGGAGGAGGAAATTCCGTTTAAAGTATAAAGAGTAAAAAACAACACAAACCAGGCAAGATAAGGCCTTGAAGATGTCCACAGATATCAGAACATACACTGGGAAGGACGCCAAACTCAGAGAGGAACAATAAACTAGAGATATTTCCATGCTTTGTTTCCAGCGCTGGCCCATACGCATGCCCGTCCTCTTATCCAGTTGTCACAGCTGCAGCCCATGAAGAGGATCAAGGCCTCTCCTCCCGAGTAGACCACATCTCTCCCTTATCCTCTCCTCCCCGCATGCCCTAGGATGGAGAGGGGATGGGCCTGGGTCCTTCTCTGACTGCCCATCCTCCTCTGCCCTTGCCCAACCTCCTCCACAACCTCTGGAGCCACACTTCCACTCCTTGTCCTCCTCTCCCTCAGAGTCAGTCTCCACCAGGAGCATGACATCTTCTCTGCCCAATTTCCAGAGTCTCAACACCTGTTTTATAGTGTGGTGCCCAAAACTGGACAAAAAAATTCCAAGTGTGGCATTATAGAATGGCAGTAACACTTCACGTGATCTTGATGTTGTCCTGTATAATGCAACCTCGGTCTGCATGAAAACCCGTGAGGAAATGTTCTCACCTGGTGTGATTGCCATGCTATTGCCATTGACCACCGCTTTCTCTTCCTCTTCCTCTTCCGGAGGCTCAATTCCTGCCTTTTCCATGTTGCTCACTGACTTGTTTCTTTTCCGTTTGCCTTCCGAACTGGGTGTTGCTCCTGGGAGGATCTGATCTGTGACATTTAATAGTAGTGGGACTGGTTCAGCTGGAGGCTTGGGAGTACCGTAGTAATTATCTAGGATGAAGCAAAAGGAGAAAAAAAAGAGGGGGGAAGGAAAGTTTCAGAAAACAGGCTCAGAAAGAACGGTTTCCTATCGATTTCATTCTGTAGTTTTCAGGTTTCGATCTCCAACCTCAAACGTCTTTAAAATTTCAAGGGAGTAGCCCAGATGTATTTCACCACCAACTGGGTTTTCTTGATATGTACTTGTGGATAGAAAGATGCCCTTCAGTGAGAAATGGAAAGTCTTTTTACTAAAACAATTGCTGTTACAGATAGCTACTAGCGTTCGAATGCACGGCTTGTAATATCTCCCTTGTTTATTTGGGCTTTGATAGCCAGTTAATCTGCACACAAAATTTCCTGATGGAAAATAAAACCACCCAAAATACAGCATTTGTAGTAACACCACCACCACCATCACCAACAATATAATAGAATAACAGAGTTGGAAGGGACCTTGGAGGTCTTCTAGTCCAACCCTCTGCCTAGGCAGAAAACCCTACACCACTTCAGACAAAGGGTTATCCAATCCCTTCTTTAAAACTTCCAGTGTTGGAGCATTCACAACTTCTGGAGACAAGTTGCTCCACTGATTAATTGTTCTAACTGTCAGGAAATTTCTCCTTAGTTCTAAGTTGCTCCTCTCCTTGATTAGTTTCCACCCATTGCTTCTTGTCCTGCCCTCAATAATATGTCTATCCAGATCCTTGGAAAGGACTCAATAGACAAAAATGCCAAATCCAGTCTGAACATCTGGCAGACTGTGCAATTATTCCTCCTCCTCCTCCTCCTCCTCCTCCTCCTCCGTAGCATGACAAAGTAGCAACAATGAAGCATTGGAAGTTGTGCAAGAAATACCATTTGCCTGCAGGAAAGAATTGGTAGGACTGTAAAGTAGAGAAAGTGATGGAAAACGAGGAAACTAAATGGGACCTTAGACCAGAGGTCTCCAACCCCCTATCCATGAATTGGGCCACGGCATGCCAGAAATCGGGCCACACAAATAAACAAAGCCCATCTGCCAGATGCTGGCAGTATGTGAAACCACGCACCCTCCAGTCCACGGAAAAACTTCTCTCCACGAAACCAGTCCCTGGTGCCCCAAAGGGTGGGGGCCACTGCTTTTGATAATTCAAACTGACAGGCACCTGCTGCATAATACCCCAGACTTAACAATTGCTAGTAAGACAGATAAAACAGTCTGGATAACGGACGCAGCAAACCCTGGAGACAGCACAGAATAGAAGAGGAAGAGCTGGAGAAGACAGCAAAGATATGCCAATAGAAATAGAAAAACTGTGGCAAAAGAAAGCAAAGATACCACCAATAATAATAAGGGTCTCAGGTGCAATCCCAAAACATCTAAAGCCCACTTGAGCATCATCGGCATTGACAAATCCACCACCAGTCAATTGCAAAAGGCAGCTGTTCTTGGAACAGCTTACATCCTGCAGAGATATCTTTAACAGCATCAAACATCCACATCCTTCGGGAGGACTTGATAGGTGGATAAAAAATGCCAAATCCAGTGTGAACATCTGGCTGACTGTGCAAACAACAACAACAACAACAACAACAACAACAACAACAACAACAACAACAACAACAACAATAATAATAATAATAATAATAATAATAATAATAATAATAATAATAATAATAATAATAATAATAATAATAATAATAATAA